TCAATAGATTTGAATTACTCTTCCTTAATGCATTACATGCTCAGCAGATGCAAAATTTAAATTTCTCTCATGCTGCATTGCACTCAGATGAAAATAAAAATGGATTTCTCTCCCAGAATGCATCACATGCTCAGATACAAAATTTGAATTTAACTGCCAGAAAGCATTACACTGTTGAAATTCTTCCCACAATGCATTGCATGCACTGTAAAAGTAAAATTTGAATCTCCCATATTTATTAACATGCTACGTAGAGGGAAAATTTGAATTCTACTCCCATAATGCACTGCATGCTCAATGGATGCAAAATTTAATGCATTGTAGATAAGCTCATTGACTGGTCTGTAACATACTTAATACGTTTTGTCAATATTTAAAATTCATTTATTTGTTCTAGCCAAACAAATCTCATTCCATAATGCTTATTGGTGCTGCATTTGTGAACTATGCTTTAGGTACAACTGCCTTTAATAGTGCAGCCGAGTCTAAGCATATATACAGAAGACAAAATTTGATACATCAAAACGCATGTCAACAAACAAGCTGCCAACTGATTGGTCTAAATATTAGGCATTAGGGTTGGGGAGCCAATCAGGTGCAACCTTACAAATAGATACGCAACCATGCACTGATACAACCTGATTTCACTCGCATGCATACAACAAGCCTTAGACAGCATTTCTTGTTATAAAGAATGGCACATGTATTTCCCTAATACAGGCTATATACAATGAGCAAATATAAGAAGGCAAGTAAGCAAACAATTTAGGCATTCTCAAAAAATAATGGTACAGATTTTTGACCTGAACAAAAAAAAATTAGATACATGCCGATATCAAGAAAGCTAAAAACTCAAGGTTGAAAGTACCAACCAGAACCAGTTTGTGATCCGGTCAGAACCAGTTTGTGCCTAAAACTGATATGAAGTTGTTTTTTTAATCATTTGAATTTTTGATATGACAAAAAATGCTCATGCCCCTGGCATTCAGCATGTGTAGCCCCAAACCACAGATGAACCCATTATTGTGTTATTTATAAAATAGAACTGAAAATTTACTTTGCATGCAAAGACTAAAATTGTCGAAACTCTACAGCATATATTTGTCTAAAATGCATTTAATAAACAGAAGAAAAAAACAAAAAATTACATCAACATAAGGTCTTTCGTCTGATACAGAAAATGCATTTTCCTTCCCTTTTTTTCAATAAATGTATAAAATATCTAACTAGTCATTTCCAAGGTGGGTGAAATCAGCTACGACTAAACACAATATTTAGTAATTAAAAGTGCAACAATCTTCATACATAATAAACAAAAAAAAATGTTTGATCTCCTAAACATAAAATACAATATGATTATCAGTATTTACCACATGTGGACTACCTGCAGCAGAAAACACGCAGATTTCCATAAACGAATCAGCCTCCAAATTTGGTAATTTAACAGTAAACGAAAAATAAAACACTTGTTAGAAATTAGCTAGTCAGAAGGCTGTCATTGTAGTAATATAGAGAAAGAATGGAAAATATATATATATTAAGATTTCAATCAAGTTTTCTACACTTTATGAAAAATGTAGTTTTTTTTCTGAGATGTGTCTATTACTCTACATAATCTCAGAAACTGAATACCAGGAAATAGTTCATAAATATGCAAATTTCTTTAAATTTTTAAGTTATTTGCTGTTGAGTAAAGCATCCACTTTTTTTTTTATAAGTGATAGCGCCCTCTATTCATTTGAGTATTTTTAATGTTTGATTGGCGACACTGTGGCAATTAATGTAGATGTGAAGTCAAGGCAAAGTTACCTATTTCTCCAGAGTCTATTTTCAAATTCAATTTACAAGATGGCTGTGTTGGCCTGAAAATATTGTACAGCGCCCTCTATTGTCAGTGCTTGGCAACTAAACAATAGAGGGCGCACACATATTTGTCAAACCATCCCTGCAGCAGCTCATTTTTTTTTTAGAAAAAAAATTATCTTAAACCCCCCTCCCCTCCCTAGCAGAGTTCCCATTTTCCCCAAGATATATTTAATTTAAAAAAAGATAAAATACTTTCGGTTGTTTTAAGTATGTAGACATATTGTATAAAATGAGGTAAACAACTTGTGCCTTACCCCCTTAATTATTCATAATTTACCCCAAAGCAGCCCCAAAATCTACATAGCAACCAGAATCTACCTAGCAACCAGGAGAAATTCCCTACCCAATCTACTTATCAACAGGCATAGTAGCTATGCAGAGTCTCGTAAGCACAAATGTAATTTTAAAAAACTTTTACACTAAGTATGTATCAAACGAGTTGCTTGAGTTACGAGCGAGCATTGATTCAATTGTGGATTGTCGACCGCGATTCATGTCGGGTCGCAAACACTTCAGTAGTTCGACTGCACACGGCGTCAATGTACATAACTTTTTTTTTTTTTTTTTAAGAGCAGCGTCCACTGTAATAACTGTTATTTTGAAGTAACTAGTCTGTTGCTCTCATCAGTATATTCTTTGTAAGCAAAAATTAAATATTCATATTGTCACTGAACTGGCACTGGAGAAGATTGTGATTCCACAAGGCTGTCTTCAGGAGTTTCTTCATTGAATTGATCCATTGGTATCGTGTGTTTTAGTGTCGTCGATGAAAATGTTGCCGACGATGACTGCGATGACGACGGCGATACAGGAGACAGTCCTATGTTGGCAGTTTGAAAAGAAAATTGTTCTCCCACTCCTAAAGAATCAGCGGGTGTCCCGAATAGATCACATCCGGAAAACGTTTCTGTTGTGCTATGCATTATGGGAATTCCAGTCGCTGTCCTCTTTGTACCAGTTCTATCAGTGCCTGGAAATATGACAAAATACAAGATTCAATTAGTCTACATATATTGCTAAGACAACCACCAAAAAAAAAAATGCTTAACAAATGTCAAACATTTAGCATCCTTAAAAGTTGGATTGTTCCGATGGCTGGAATGGTTTACTTCTCGCAAACCAAACAAGCTACAAATGAAAATATGGCCGCCTCTAGCAGACAAAATTACACAATGCATTGTGGGTAAATTGTCTCTGATTGGTCAATAATGATCAGCAGATTTCATATCATGCCATTAGGAGGGGTGAATTAGTGTTAGCAATTAATTTCTTGAGTGGCTGGCTGGCTGACCTCAAACTCAAGCCAAGACCTAAATACTGCAGAGAGTTCCATAGCAAGAATGTACCTAACTAGTTGTAGAGAAAGTGTTGAAATTTATCCAGAAAAAAGGTTATTAATAAGACCAGTTGGTAAGAAAGAAGGATACTAAACTGACAAGTTGGGGGGCAAAGAAGGTTATTAAACTGAGCAGTTGGCGAGAAAGGAGGGTACTAAACTGACAAGTTGGGGGGAAAAGAAGGTTATTAAACTGAGCAGTTGGTGAGAATGGTAACTAAACTGACCAGGGGCGAGAAAGGGGGTTATAACTAACAAGTTGGCAAGAAGGGAGATTATTAAAGTGACAGGTTTATGAGAAAAGTAGTTACTAAACTAACCAGTTGGTTAGAAAGGTTACCAAATTGACCAAAAAAAAAGAGGGTACTAAACTGACCAGTTGGAGAGAAAGGGGCTTAACTAAACTGACCAGTTGGAGAGAAAGGGTGTTACTAAACTGACCAGTTGGAGAGAAAGGGTGTTACTAAACTGACCAGTTGGAGAGAAAGGGTGTTACTAAATTGACCAATTGGAGAGAAAGGGTGTTACTAAATTGACCAATTGGAGAGAAAGGGTGTTACTAAATTGACCAATTGGAGAGAAAGGGTGTTACTAAATTGACCTACCCAACAACTCAGGGTGACGAGTAATCACTAACACAGAGGTATGGTGACATTGGAGAATGCGCATCTTAAGAAAAACAAGGAAAAATATAAATTGTTAGGCCATGGCAAAAAAAGCATTAAAATAATAGATCCTTTGTCCTTGGTAATCAACAAGATTGGTGAAAAGTCACAGATAAATTGTTCCCTTTTCTGTGTGTTCATCTGTCCTGCGTCCGCCAGTGTGTTTTGTCAACCAGTTGGAGGTGATGCTTGATTTGCATAGAATGATTGAATAACAAAACTCAAATTAGGTCCAGATAAAATAGTTGCCAGAGAAGTTTTTTTTCCCCACAAAATATATGCTTCTAATATAAGGTTATTCATTACCAAGAACATAGGAGATGCATCTGGCTACACTAAAGAATGCAATTCATGTTTGTTTGTTTGTGATGTCTAAATTAATCCAAAATTAAAGTGCCTGGTGACTAATATTTTGCCATGGCCTACCACTGGCATTATACAGGCAACATAGGATTGGATAGAATGCAAACTGGACTGTAAACTACTTTTTACTTGCTGTTGGATCAAGGGGATCATCTCAAAATATCATGGAAATTGTTTCCAATGAATGAAAATATAGCAAAATTTAAATTGTCACAATTAACTCGCAAAATAAAACTGAACCCCTTCTAATTCAGAAGTGAATCAAAGTTGATAAATGTGTAAATTTTAAGTAATTTTTTTTTAATTATCAAATGTGTCAGGCAATTATGATTTTACTATAAACTAATTTATGTTTCGTACAAGTGAACATATAGCTTTATTTTGTCCAAGATTTAACAGCTACATAAAATTAAATGTTTTCTTGACACATAAAAATGATGGTGTGAATCAGAAAAAAAATTAACTGAACTTTATCATGATTGGAGATGTTCCACTCAATTTGTCATATTTCATGCCGATTTTCAACAGCGAGGCATTTTATAATATGAATAAAGCTTGATTTATAAAAAAACAGAAACACAAAAATGAGGAAAATCAAAACATGAAATTTTCTCTGAAAGCCCGATTAAAACAAGTCAAAAATTACATTTGTCAAAATAATAAATAAAAAAAACTTTGAAAAATGCAGGTTGTGAATTGAGAGCATCTAAATATTATTTGAGCTCAAAACAAATATTGTGAAATATTGATATGGTTTTATTTATTTTTACAATAATTAGGACACGAGTTTTTTTATTTTACTTCAGTTTCACATTGGTGTTAATAAGAATTGTTTTGATTTTCCTCAGTAATCATTCTAAAACAAATGTGACCTTGTTGATTTCTCTTGAAATGATAAATGTAGAAACAGATTGTACAATAATGCTGAAATAAAACTTGCGTCCAGCTCATTGATTGGATGAAGGAGATCAGGTGACTTTGACCAACAAATCATATGGCAACTTTAATGAGAGGCAATAATCAAAGTTGAATTAGAGCAGAAGGGATGAAGAAAGGAAGGATGTTTTGGCGATGATTTTATAGGTAGGTAGCCCCACACTAATGTGTTGGATTTCAGTATTTATGGTTTATTCATAGATAAAAAAATTATTTTTGTTGTTTTTATAATTTTTAAACTTCTTAGTACCCCCAGAAAGATAAATTAGTAGTTAGTGTGCCTTGAGAAGTCCTCCAAAACCTTGTGCATAATGAAGCTAATCGAGACGATAGATAACAGGAGATAGATGATGATGATGAAACTGAATGATGATATGAAAAGTAATAAAAGAGTCCAGAAATTGACAAAAAGGTGATATAGGAGACTTAAAGGTAATGGGTGATATGAAATGCGACATGAATCTGATATGTGGCGGGTGAACATGAAAGGTGACGGGTGAACATGATATGTGGCGGGTGAACATGAAAGGTGGCGGGTGAACATGAAAGGTGGCGGGTGAATCTGATAGGTGACGGGTGAATCTGATAGGTGACGGGTGAATCTGATAGGTGACGGGTGAATCTGATAGGTGACGGGTGAATCTGATAGGTGACGGGTGAATCTGATAGGTGACGGGTGAATCTGATAGGTGACTGGTGAATCTGATAGGTGACTGGTGAATCTGATAGGTGACTGGTGAATCTGATAGGTGACTGGTGAATCTGATAGGTGAACATGAAATGTGACGGTGACGGGTGAACATGAAAGGCGACGGGTGAACATGAAAGGCGACGGGTGAACATGAAAGGCGACGGGTGAACATGAAAGGCGACGGGTGAACATGAAAGGTGACGACGACGGGTGAACATAGAAGACGACGGGTGAACATGGAAGGTGACGGGTGAACATGAAAGGCGACGGGTGAACATAAAGGCGACGGGTGAACATAAAGGCGACGGGTGAACATAAAGGCGACGGGTGAACATAAAGGCGACGGGTGAACATAAAGGCGACGGGTGAACATAAAGGCGACGGGTGACATGAAAGGCGACAGGTAATATGTGAACATGATAGGTGAAAGGTAATAGGTGAATATGATAGGTGAAAGGTAATCTGTGAATATAAAAGATATGCGAATATGAATCGTGAATATGAAAGTCAATATGCAAATAGGTGATAGATAAATATGGAATATATGTGAATATGAAACATGAAAGATGTGTATATGAAAGATGATGTGTATATGGAAGTTATGTGAAAGATGATGTGTATATGGAAGATATGTGAATGATGATGTGTATATGGAAGATATGTGTATATAAAAGATGTGTATACGGAAGATGATGTGTATATGAAAGATATGTGCATATGGAAGATGATGTGTATATGGAAGATGATGTGTATACAAGAGATGTGTATATGAAAGATATGTGTATATGAAAGATGGTGTGTATATGAAA